GCGTAATTCTTGATTTTTGATGACTTCTAAATTTTTGCAATAAGTATATGAGTTCTTTTGACTAATGTTGAGTCCATGGATTATACACACTTTTACCTTTCCACCATTGCTAGCCTCTTCGGTACCGTGCATTGCCCTTTCTCACCTTCAGAGTTGGTGCAAACTTCGCCAGTGCATCCAAACCCCGTGATACGATACGCCCTATCACACATAAACCTCCTTATATCTTCCTCAAAACAGCCATCATACCTACATATTATGGCATTTCCATAGCCATTCCGAGATATATGGCCATGCAACTTTCCACCGTTCCGTTCATCATTATCATGACATACTTTACTTTTGTCATATTGCCATTGCATGATCATGTAGTTGACATCGTATTTGTGGCAAAGCCACCATGCATAATTTCTTATACATGTCACTCTTGATTCATTGCACCATCCCGGTACACCGCCGGAGGCATTCATATAGAGTCATATCTTGTTCTAGTTTCGAGTTGAAATTCATATGTTGTAATCAATGAAAGTGTGATGATCATCATTATTAGAGCATTTCCCAAAAACAAAAAAAGAAAGGCCAAAAAAAGGCCAAAAAGAAAAAAAAAGAAAAAGGAAAAAAATAAAAAGAAAAAAAAGAAAATAAATAAAAAGGGCAATGTTACTATCTTTTTTTCCACACTAGTGCTTCAAAGTAGCACCTTGTTCTTCATGTAGTGAGTCTCATATATTGTGCTTCAAAGTAGCACCATGTTTTTCATATAGTGAGTCTCACAGGTTGTCTTTTTCATACTAGTGGTAATTTTTCATTATAGAACTTGGCTTGCATATTCCTACGATGGGCTTCCTCAAATGCCCTAGGTCTTCGTGAGCAAGCAAGTTGGATGAACACCCACTAGTTTCCTTTTGTTGAGCATTCATTTATAGCTCTAGTGCATTAGTTGCATGGCAATCCCTACTCCTCATGTTGACATCAATTGATGGGCATCTCCATAGCTCGTTGATTATCCTCGTCAATGTGAGACTTTTTTTGTCTTCTCCACACAATCCCCATCATCATATTCTATTCCATCCATAGTGCTATATCCATGGCTCACGCCATGTATTGCGTGAAGGTTGAAAAAGTTTGAGATTATTTAAGTATGAAACAATTGCTTGGCTTGTCATCAGGGGTATAGAAGTTGGGAACATCTTTTTGTGACGAAAATGAAGCATAGCCTAACTATATGATTTTGTATGGATGAACTTTCTTTTGCCATGTTATTTTGAGAAGACATGATTGCTTTGATTAGTATGCTTGAAGTATTACTATTTTTTTTATCAATATGAACTTTTATTTTTGATCATTTGGATCTGAACATTCATGCCACAATAAAGAAAATTACATTGAGAATTATGCTAGGTAGCATTCCACATCAAAAATTCTGTTTTTATCATTTACCTACTCGAGGACGAGCAGGAATTAAGCTTGGGGATGCTTGATACGTCTCCAACGTATCTATAATTTTTTATTGTTCCATGCTATTATATTACCCCTTTTGGATGTTTATGGGCTTTATTTTACACATTTATATCATTTTTGGGACTAACCTACTAACCGGAGGCCCAGCCCGTATTGCTGTTTTTTTGCCTATTTCAGTATTTCGAAGAAAAGGAATATCAAACGGAGTCCAAATGGAATGAAACCTTCGGGAGCGTGATTTTTGGAACGAACGTGATCTAGAGGACATGGAGTGCAAGCCAAGAAGCAGCCGAGGCGGCCACGAGAGGGTAGGGCGCGCCCACCCCTATAGGGCGCCCCTGTCTCGTGGGCCCTTTGGGCGGCCACTGACGTACTTCTTCCTCCTATATAAGCCTACGTACCCCGAAAACATCCAGGAAGCACCCGAAACACAATTTCCGCCGCCGTAACCTCCTGTATCCGCGAGATCCCATCTTGGAGCCTTCGTCGGCGCTCCGCCGGAGGGGGAATCGACCACGGAGGGCTTCTACATCAACACCATAGCCCTTTCGATGAGTTGTGAGTAGTTTACCACAGACCTTCGGGTCCATAGTTATTAGTAAGATGGCTTCTTCTCTCTTTTTGGATCTCAATACAATGTTCTCCCCCTCTCTTGTGGAGATCTATTCGATGTAAACTCTTTTTGCGGTGTGTTTGTCGAGATCCGATGAATTGTGGGTTTATGATCAAGTTTATATATGAGAAATATTTGAATCTCCTCTAAATTCTTTTATGGATGATTGAGTTATCTTTGCAAGTCTCTCTGAATTATCAGTTTGGTTTGGCCTACTAGATTGATCTTTCTTTCAATGGGAGAAGTACTTAGCGTTAGGTTCAATCCTGCAGTGTCCTTTCCCAGTGACAGCAGGGGCAGCAAGGCACGTATTGTATTGTTGCCATCGAGGATAAAAAGATGGGGTTTATATCATATTGCATGAGTTTATCCTCTACATCATGTCATCTTTCTTAATGCGTTACTCTGTTCTTATGAACTTAATACTCTAGATGCATGCTGGATAGCGGTCGATGTGTGGAGTAACAGTAGTAGATGCATGCAGGAGTCGGTCTACTTGTCACGAACGTGATGCCTATATACATGATCATGCCTAGATAATCTCATAATTATTCACTTTTCTATCAATTGCTCGATAGTAATTTGTTCACCCACCGTAATACTTATGCTATCTTGAGAGAAGCCACTAGTGAAACCTATGGCCCCCGGGTCTATCTCTTATCATATAAGTTTTCTATCTACTTTTATTTGCGTCTTTACTTTTCCAATCTATATTATAAAATACCAAAAATATATTTATCTTATCATATTATCTCTATCAGATCTCACTTTCGCAAGTGGTCGTGAAGGGATTGACAACCGCTTTATTGTGTTGGTTGCGAGTTCTTTGTTTGTTTGTGTAGGTGCGTGGGACTTTTGAGGAGCCTCCTACTGGATTGATACCTTGGTTCTCAAAAACTGAGGGAAATACTTACGCTACTATTGCTGCATCACCCTTTCCTCTTCAAGGAAAACCAACGCGAGCTCAAGACGTAGCACCCCGCGCCGTCACTGCCCTACTCCGCACCGCTCTATTGCCGCCCCGACCCCGCCTCTCTCAGGACGCCGCCCCGACCATGCTCCGCCTTTGTTTTTTTTCATGGCACAGAAGAAGACCCCGAGGAGCAAGACGGGGGTTCTTCGGCGTGAGGGCGAAGCCCTCCGGGAAGTTCAGAGTCGAGTTCTCCCACGTCGGCCGTCGCTTTTGGCTCGGCACGTACCCTTCCGTCCAGTGGCGGACCTAGCCAACTGGCCCAGGGTGGGCCAATAGTGCAATTGTACATGTAATTTTATGTTTCCCTTTTATTTTTTTAGCTTTTTTCCTATGGTATAAAGCCCATTTTCCAATCTCAGGGTGGGCCATGGCCCACCCTGTCCACCCTCTACCTCCGCCACTGCTTCCGTCCACAAGGTCGCGCGTGCCTACGACGTGGCGGTATGGTGTGCCGGAAAGCTGAGGCTTGACTTGAACTTCCTGGAGATCAAGACCTAGGTGGCTGCAGAGATGCTCGTGCCGCAGGGCATCTAGATGGAGGAGATTCCGGCGAAGAAGGCGAAGAAGAAGCCGGCGGTTGTCATCGGTCCCGGCAAGATCGACGAGGCGGCGATGGCGAGGTTTGCGCGGGAGCATCCGGGGTATGTCCAGGCCGAGCATGAGTTCTTCTGGTAGCATGACGCCGAGGAGAAGAAGAAGAAGGAGGTGAAGATGGAGGACGAGGCCGGCCCCTCGACGGTGATCCCCATCAAGTCGGAGGAGGAGGGGTGCGACGACCTGGACAAGGACGAGTGCTGGGAGCAGTTCGACAGCTCCGGCGATGATGAGTAGTTTCATCTAGTAGTAGTTGAATTATGTATGAAGTTTTTATGTTTGAACTATGTTGAATTTTATGTTTGAACTTTGTTGAAATGAAGTAGTAGTTTTGGTAGTTTTCAGGATTTTACATCTCTACTTTGCATCTCCTGTTGGAGTTGCTCTTTTACATCTCCAATTCGCATCTTCTGTTGGAGTTGACACTTCTTTTAAGATGCAAAAAAAACACTTTTTTAAGATGTAAATTTTTACATCTCCAAAATTTGCATTTTTTATTGGAGATGCTCTTAGATTGTACTAACGAATGGATTATGCCTGGTTGTGGTTGGCTTTCTTTTGCTATGCATGGGTCCCGGTCCCTACCTGGTTAATTCCTTGCTTTGATGCTGGAGCAAAGTAAAGAACAAAGATGGAACTGTCGCCATGGCTCTCTGCTTCTTCCTATTTTTTTCTCCTTTTTTTTCTTTGAATAAAGCAAAGGTGCTTGGCTGCCGTCACAGCGAGATTGTCTTTGCTTAATAATACTTTAGTGCTTCTATATTGTAGTCGTTCCTAGGTTGTCTATGGATTTGGACGTAAATTTTATTATTTTCTGTGCTTGTTATACTGTCATGGTTGAAAATGAATAGATTGGAAATCTTTTCGTAAAAAATGGCTAGCGTTGTATGAAAATCATGAAAAAGAAAGGGACCGGATTCTGAGCAACGTATTACTCCTGAAGGGAAGCCGAATGCTGTACTTGCCTTGACGACATAACGTTCGTAGTATGCAGCCCTGCCAGTGCCAACTACCCACAATTCCACATGCACGTATGCGTTCCGGCCCATCCACTGCCTCCTGCTCAACTAGCGCTTCCGAGTTGCCGGCCGGTGATTAAGATGGCGGAGCTGGCCTAAGTAAGAGCTATCTTCCTTCCCCGTTCCGCCTGGACGCGACCCTTCGCGGTGTCTTCGTCATCTCCCGGCGCTGCCCGACCACCCGCCTCCGCACGCGGTGCTGCTCAGGTGAGATCTCTCTCTCTCTCTCCGAAACTCTTTTTTTGCGCTCGTGCAAGCAGATGATGCATACGTAAAGGTAAAATGCTTACTAAGATGGATTCCTTCAGAATTTGAGGGGCGCGATCGAGCAAGCAAATAAATGGCTGGTGGTGGGATCGTGCAGCTGTGGGCCAACTCGGGGATCCGAATCGTGGTCCTCCTCAGCTTCACATTTCAAGTTTTCCTCTTCTTCTTCGGTGGGATCCGTCGGCAGCGGAGAGCTGCCTCCCCTCTGCTGTCTGCCCTCCTGTGGTTGGTGTACCTTCTTGCTGACTCCACGGCGATCTATGCCCTTGGCCACCTGTCTTACTCCAGTCCGCACAAGCTCGCGGCCTTCTGGGCGCCGCTCCTGTTGGTGCATTTGGGTGGTCCGGACAGCATCACCGCCTACACCATTGACGACAGCCGGCTCTGGCTTCGGCACCTGCTCACTCTTGTCGTGCAGACACTGGGAGCTGCCTATGTCCTCTACAAGTATGTTACCAGTGCTGGGAGGTTGCTTCTGTCAGCCTCTGTCTTGATGTTCGCCGTCGGTGTCCTCAAGTATGGCGAGAGGACATGGGCGCTGAGATGTGGCAGCTTGGATGGCATCAAAAGCAGAATCAGATACAAGAATGTTCCAGGTTACAAATATTTTGATACGGTGAAGAACAATTTGCTCAATCAGAAAGATGATAATGACGAGGAACTTCTAATTTTAGCTCATTCCCTACTTGGACAATGCATGAAATGCTTTGCCGGTTCCTATGTTTGGCTTGTGGACTGTCCTCCTTGGGTATATCCTCTGGAAGAAGATGACCCCGACCTATACAAGTTTGTTGAGATGCAGTTATCCCTCATGTATGATATCATGTACACAAAGGCTTGGGTGATCCACACATGGTACGGTTACTGCACCCGTGTCTTTTCTCTTGTCGCAACAATAGTCACCATACTGCTCTTCTCATTCAGCAACAAAAATGGTTATAGTAGGGTTGATGTTCGTATCACCTATTTTTTGTTAGCTGGGGCTGTGGCCTTGGAGATCATATCAGTGCTGACAACCATAGGGTCGATATGGATGTGTGCTTGGCTGTGCAGCCTCAAAAGGACCCGTCTGCTTGTAAATGTGCTAAAATTCCTTCGCCGTCTTGTTCGATCAGCAAGCAAGAGAAGGCAGTGGATCTCCATTGGGCAGTATAATCTGTTTCACTTTTGCACTCGTGACAAGAATGAGCTAGGCAGCAAAGCAGCAAAGAAGATGGGGCTCGACAAATGGTGGACAAGTATACATTTCGTGTGCACCGCAGACATCTCGGAAACAAGTCTTCCGGTGCTGCTTCTGGAAACCAAGACCAAATTAGACCCTGAGTACTCAAGAGGCATACAAATACTGGAGAGGAGCGGATTAGGCAAGGAGCAAGCTGGATGGAGTCACTGGAGTTTGAGTTTGAACCTTGACTTTGGAAAGAGCCTCCTCATCTGGCACCTTGCAACTGATGTCTACCTTACTAGATCCAAGGAGGTTGGACATCAAGAAAATCTAGCTAAAACAGTCAAGATGTTGTCCAATTACATGATGTTCCTGCTAGTGACCAAGCCCGACATGCTACCTGGCTATATTGATGAAACCTGGCTTGAGCGCACCCGCGACTCCTTGGAGGACCGGTCTGAGGACCAAGAAAATACAAAATCGCCCAAGAAATGGTGGGGCATGTTGAAGAAACAATTCCGCAACGATGGACCCAATGGTTCCAGGATCCAACAGATAAAGCAGCTTGCTTCACATTTTCATAGCAGGTTCCTCAGTGATCACGAGGGAAAGGTATGGTCATTAACTTTATTCTACTCAGATTCTAATATGTTTGGTAAAATTTAAAGTTGTACCGACTTCATTTTTTAAAATATTTTAACCGCTCACATATAACTGTTTATTTGGCCTTTATATGTTTGATTGTTTTAGTGGGAGTACGCCCCCCCTGAAAACGAAGAAGCAGGTCCACAAAAACACTATTGGGCTGCTGATGTGCATGCAACAGAACTTGCAGCGGAGTTTCTCCATTTGGAATCGAGGGTACCCAACTTGTTGCAAGTAATTATTCAGGTGTGGCTGGAAATGTTGTTCTATGCTGCCGGGCGCTGCGGCCCGGAATCCCATGCTCGTCAACTCAGCAGGGGCGGCGAATTCCTTACGATTGTGTGGCTTCTCACTCAACACTTCAATCCCGACTATCTAGATAATGTTTGATGCTGCCGGCTTCGAGCAGGGGTCTCATCCCGACCATCTAATTGATGTTGCCGGCCGGCTTCGAATGAAGGTCTCATCCCACCAAACATCATGTCGCTGAAGTACTAAGAAAGAGTACAAGGAATCGCCTCATTCATCTGATGGACTGTAATAAGATCGATGCTGGATTATGCATTGTTTAGAATCCAGATTGTATACGTTTGTTACTTACCTTGTCGTGTATGTTGAAATTATGCCCTAGAGGTAATAATATTATATTATTATATTTTCATATTCATAATTAAGAGTTTATATTCTATTCTCTAGCTACTATGATTCTGAAATGTGTGATTCAGTGGAAAACTCATATACACGTGTGAAATGATAAGCGGTGAAATTAGGTTCTAGTCTTGTCTCTAAGACTGGCTCAAGTATTGCTGTTGATCACGTTTTTTGGATCTTAAGATATCATTAAGTGTAATGATAGTCATTAAACAACATTGAGAGTAGTTAGAAGAACGATCATATTGAATCGACCCAAACTTGTTTATTATACTTCGAGATAATATCGTCTAAAGTCAATTGTTATAACATGGAGTGTTAATATGTGTTTTAGTTCGTTAGGCCATGAGAGTATTCTACACTTCTTACCGTACGATGAGCTTTGGGGGTTGTTCAAACATCATCTGTAACATGGTGATCATAACGACAACTTATAAGTTCATCCGGAAGTTTGACAAGGGACTAGATAGCTCGAGAGTGGAATTTTCTCCTCTGACGAGGGAGAGATATTCTTAGGGCCATCTCGGTGTGACGGCATCCATCATCGTCTGGCCAGACATAGGGGACTATGTCACGGGGATGCCAGAACATTTCAACGAGAAAGAAGAACAAAACCAGTAACGAGAAGAATGGTATAGTGAGCATATGTATGACTCAAGAGAATACTGATACATCTCACCTCAGGTTTTGTGAAGTATCGCGAAGCAAAGGGAATATCACATGATAACAAAAGTTTCACTCAAATGTCATTCGTGTAATCATAGGGATCGACATTGACGTCCACGGTTCCGCTATCGGTCATTGAACAAAGGAGTTTTGTTCATGTCTATATTATACCGAACCTATAGGGTCACAAGCTTAAGGTAATCACGATCTCACTACTGGAATTTTCGTATACGCTGGGTGTCGGCATCTTCGCCGAGAGCCAAAACACAGGCACTCAACAAAGTAAAGAGCACCGAGAGTGGCACTCGGCAAAGGGAATAAGTCGGAAAACACACGACAATGCCGACAGTATTGCTCGGCAAACAGGCTATACTCGGCAAAGGCACTATTTGCCAAGGGCCATCTAGCCACACACACGGCAAAGTTTTGCCACGGGCACATTCGGCGGCGACTAACGGCACGGTCACGATTGCAAATCTTTGCCCAGAGTGGCTCTCGGCAAAGATTTAGTCCCACCTCGCCTGCTGACTAGCAAAATGACATGTTTAAATAGTTCAATATTCCAACCGCATTAAGCTTCGGTCTTCTCTCATTACTAAGAGTCCATATAGTCACCATGAATCTTCTAGTGGTTGTTATCTGAGACTGTCTCTCAGTAAAAGAGCAGTTGCCGAGAGTGGCTCCCGGTAATGATAAGGCCACCATCAAAGTTTAGTCCCACCTCGCCTACAGACAAGCAACAAGACATGTTTAAATATAAATAGTGGGATAGTCCGGATGCAGTAAGCTTCGGTATTCATTACACTCTTGTTAAGAAGATGGACTATTTGTGATGTCCTTGTGGCATGCCTACGCCTTACACAGACGAGGGAGGGGCATGCCCTACGACCGGGTTACCGAAAGTACCTCGGTGTCATTCCTGATGCAACCGTTGAAATCCTCAGAAAATCGTACGATGGTAGGATTGCTCGGGATCTGCCACAGTGTCATCACATGGCCTCTATAGCGGCATGAGAAATAATTTGTGATGTCCTTGTGGCATTCCTATGCCTTGCATAGACGAGGGAGGGGCATGCCCTCCCACCGGGTTACCGAAAGTACCTCGGTGTCATTCCTGATGCAACCGTTGAAATTCTCAGAAAATCGTACAATGGTAGGATGGCTTGGGATCTGGCATGGTGTCATCACAGGGCCTCTGTAGGGTGTGGTAAAAGTTTGGACGAGTTTCGAGTAAGCCTCCCCTAAGGCCGCTTGTAAACCGCACTGTCTCTGAGCTAGTATCTGAGTATCGAGAGGGAACGTGTCCGGTTTGTGTAGGAAGTGCTGGTCCTATTGCTCGGTTGGCCTTGAAACTTCTCGTGCTCTAAGAGGGGGCAACCACATGGCACGTTCCATTGCCTCGCATTTTTCAGGGACGCGCACAATATTCAAGAAATTTATTGCTCTGCTAGGGTTTCATCATCAGGAATTACAGATCAGCAAGGTGGCACATGAAATCATGCCCAGTAGCGGCATGGGAAATCGTTTGTGATGTCCTTGTGGCATGCCTACGCCTTGCACAGACGAGGGAGGGGCATGCCCTGCTATCGGGTTACCGAAAGTACCTCGGTGTCATTCCTAATGCAACCGTTGAAATCCTAGGAAAATCATACGATGGTAGGATTGCTTGGGATCTGGCACGGTGTCATCACAAGGCCTCTGTAGGGTGTGGTAAAAGTTTGGACGCATTTCGAGTAAGCCTCCCCTGAGGCCGCTTGTAAAATGCACCGTCTCCGAGCTAGTATCTGGGTATCGAGATGGAACGTGTCCGGTTTGTGTAGGAAATGCTGGTCCTGTTGCTCCGTTGTCCTTGAAACTTCTCGTGCTCTAAGAGGGGGCAACCGCATGGCACATGCCACGGCCTCGCATTTTTCGGGGACGCACGCAGTATTCAAAAAAATTATTGCGGCGCTAGGGTTTCATCACCGGGAATTGTAGTTTAGCAAGGCGGCACATTAAATCATGTCGGGTAGTGTCATGGGGAATCATTTGTGATGTCCTTGTGCCATGCCTACTCCTTGAGTGGATGAGGGAGGAGTGTCATTTCCGAGTGCCGCTCTCGGTATGTTTGCCATTTCCGAGTGTGCTTTATCCTTTACTGAGCGTTTCTCTAGGAAAATGTGTAAAACCTAGATCTAGGTCTCGTACCTCTACCAAGAGCTGCACCGATAGACTCACGGTAAAGGTCGGCGAACACTTAACCCCTCGCGTGGTCTCTTCTCTCTATCACTTCTATCTCTTTCTCACCCCCCCACCCCACCCCACTGGTGCCCCCTGAAGGAAATATGCCCTAGAGGCAATAATAAAGTTGTTATTTTATATTTCCTTATATCATAATAAATGTTTATTATTCATGCTAGAATTTTATTAACCAGAAACTTGATACATGTGTGAATACATAGACAAAACACTATGTCCCTAGTATGCCTCTACTTGACTAGCTCGTTGATCAAAGATGGTTAATTTTTCTAACCATAGACATGTGTTGTCATTTGATGAACGGGTTCACATCATCAGGAGAATGATGTGATGGACAAGACCCATCCATTAGCTGATCATAATGATCGTCAGTTTTATTGCTACTTCTTTCTTCATGACATATACATATTCCTCGGGCTATGAGATTATGCAACTCCCGGACAATGGAGGAATGCCTTGTGTGCTATCAAACGTCACAACGTAACTGGGTGATTATAAAGATGCTCTACGGGTATCTTCGAAGGTGTATGTTAGGTTGACATAGATCGAGATTAGGGTTTGTCACTCCGAGTATCGGAGAGGTATCTCTGGGACCTCTCGGTAACGCACATCATATGAAGCCTTGCAAGTAATGTGACTAATGAGTTAGTTGCGGTATGGTGCATTACGGAACGAGTCAGGAGACTTGCCAATAAGGAGATTGAACTAGGTATGAAGATACCGACCGTCGAATCTCGGGCAAGTAACATACCGATGACAAAGGGAATAACGTGTGTTGACATAGCGGTTCGACCGATAAAGCTCTTCATAGAATGTGTGGGAACCAATATGAGCATCCAGGTTCCGATATTGGTTATTGACCGGAGAGGTGTCTCAGACATGTCTACATAGTTCTCGAACCTGTAGGGTCCGCACGCTTAACGTTTAATGACAATATGTATTATATGAGTTATGTGTTTTGGTGATCGAAGGTTATTCGGAGTCCCGTATAAGATCACAGACATGACAAGGAGTCTCGAAATGGCCGAGAGGTAAAGATTGATATATTGGAAGGTGGTATTCGGACACCGGAAGGGTTCCGGAGTGCCTCGGGTACATACCGGAGTACCGAAGGGGTTACCGGAACCCCCCGGGGAAAGATATGTGCCATAGGAGGGAGGCACACCAGCCCATAAGGGGCTGGCGCGCCCCCACTAGGGGGAAACTGAATTGGACAAGGGGTGGGGGAGGCGCCCCCTCCCCTTTCCTTCTCCTTCTCCTACTCCTTCCCCCTTGACCCCTCCGGAAAAGGGAAGGGGGCGAATCCCACTAGTAGTCCAAGTGGGACTCCCCCCTCACTTGGGGCGAACCTAGGCCGGCCTCTCTCCCTCCCTCCTTTATATAGGGGGGCGCCCCTATGAGACACACCAATTGCTCCAAGCCGTGTGTGGCACCCCCCTCCACAGTTTATGCCTCCGGTCATATTCTCGTGGTGCTTAGACAAAGCCCTGCGCGGATCACATCACCATCACCGTCACCACGTCGTCGTGCTGACAGAACTCATCTACTCATTCGACCATCTGCTGGATCAAGAACTCGAGGGACGTCATCATGCTGAACGTGTGCAGAACTCGGAGGTGTTGTACATTCCGTACTCGATTGGTCGGAACGAGAAGACGTTCGACAACATCAACCCCATTAAGTAAACGCTTCCGCTTTCGGTCTACGAGGGTACATGGACACACTCTTCCCCTCTCGTTGCTATGCATCTCTGATACGTCTCCAACGTATCTATAATTTATGAAGTATTCATGCCATGTTTACAATAATTTTATATGGTTTTGGTATGATTTGCA